CGCGAGAGCGCGCATACGCGCGCCTAGGCCGCCACGGCCCGGTGAGGGCGATCCAACCGCAGGCGCCAGCAGCCATGACATCACCAGAGCCGAAGGGGCTAATGGTGGCAACACTGGCGCTGGCAGCTCTGACGATCACCGTAGACTGCCGCAAGTGGCAGCAAGGCGCGGACGCATGGAAGGAGGTGATCCTCCACCGCCGCCGCAGCCTCCTGTAGAGCCGAGGCCAAGGCCAAGGCTTCCTGATTGGACTCGTTTCGATGTTCAGCTCAGCCTTCAAAACCTGCGCAGCTTTGACCCAGCTGTAGTGCAGCGAGAACTCCGCAAGCTTCACTTGAGATGGTTTCATGCCAAGGAACCAAAGATGCGGATGATTCTAGCTAAGGTTGGTTTGGGCGAAACCCGTTTGAGTCTGATTAAGGGCATTTGCGACTCGTGTAGAGAATGTCGTGCCTGGGACAAACCAGGCAACACGGTGATGCCATCTGTGTCACTGCCAGGACATTTCAACGAGGAAGTCGAATGTGATCTTTTCTTTTACAAACAGGAACATATTGTTTTTCACATCATCGACCGTTGTATTCGTTGGGCAGCTGGTACAGAGATCCCCGATAAGACTATGCACACTGTTCTCGATGCCTATCACACAACTTGGATGCAGCATGGCCCTGCCAAAGTCTTATACTCCGACGGGGAAGGAGCACTGAATAACGATACAGCAAAGGCCATCCTTAAATCCAAGGGAACAGAGCTTCGTATCCGAGCGCGTGGCCAACACGCCACGACTATCGAAGCTAGGAACGGCATCCTGCGACACCTCATACACGTGATGGGAGAAGAATTGAATAGATTGAATATTCCTCTGAATTTCACTCGTCTTTTACATGAAGCCATGTTTGCCAGCAGTGCATTTACCTTCTACAACGGAGTTTCTCCGTATAATGCGTTATATGGCAGACAACCAGCTATGCTTCCCGATTTCCCTGTCTTGGATCATGATCAGTCCGCTGAATCATCAGATCACTCAAGGGAGGAGACAATCAGGAGGGTTAGTCTGGAGGCAATCACGCAGGCCACTGCGGTTGCCAAGACAAACAGGGCTCTTCGTACGAAGACTACTGCTACGGGTGAATTTCACTACAGAGAGGGAGATCTCGTGGACTATCATCGCCCGACCACCACGAAAGATGACTGGGGTGGATGGAGTGGTCCATACCCGGTCATCCGCAACGAACCTGACCGGGGTCAAGTCATCGTGAAGGTCGGCAGTCGCGAAGTGCGAGTACAGTATCCTGACACACGACATACGCTGTACATCGAAGCACTGATGGTCCGCGAGATAGGATCGGACAATACGGCCCTTCGGACAGTACTGGCCTTTATTGCCGGTCTGTCAGCGGGGAAACCCGCCATGACTTTTGGATACTTACCAGCGAAACAGGGCCGGCTGCAGATGACTGCTGCGAGCCGGCTTTCGCCTAAAGTGCACTTGGCTCTTCAGTATCTCATTCGCAACTATTTTCGTATTGAAAACGTTGTTGCCGTACGACTTGCTAAGAGCCTGACTAAGTTGCCTGCTGCACCCTATGCAGACAGCTGTACACTAGTGCACTATGATAATGATGTGACCCCTGGCTTTCATTATTATGAAGCTGATGGCACCGCCTTGAACATCTACGACATCACAGGATCTACACACTCACGCATCATCCAGTGTCTCAAATCCAAGAAGCCGCCTGCTGGATTCGACCGAGACCTCACTAAATTTGAAGAACTCGCTGATGGTCCACCACCAAGCGAGTCACCTCCAGCAGCTGCCCCTGAGCAGCCTCCTGCGGAGAATGATGGTCGGCTCCCGACCATCATAGAGGAAACAGAAGAAGATCTGGATGCTTTTGTCTTAAAGTCGTGGTATGCTGAACTGATGGATGACAGAACACTCTTTGAAGCTGACACAGAAGAAGTCATGCATACAGTTCCGACATACATGACAGACACACAGTGTGTGTTAGTCTCTACGACCTGTGAAGATGCGCAAGGCCACTTGCCGGAGCGGGGTCGCCCGCCAGGATACGACATGGACACTTCTTACTACGTTCCTTTGTGCTCCACGGATCCGGACAACAAATATGATCTGGATTCCGACGAGCACGGGAAGTACATCGAGCTCTGCTTCACAGCAGACATGTCCAAAGTCGTCCTGTCCGAGCAGCAACGCCGATTGCTGGATGACAGCAGCGTCACAACTATGCGAGTATATGTTAGTGCTGCCTCCAAACGTGCCGTGGTCGTCAAGGAAGACGATCTACTCACGAAGGCCGACATTCAAGCGAATCCGGTCAAAGTTTCCAAAGCCCTCTACACAGAATTGAAGACTTGGCTTGACAACAAATGCTTCCAGATGACTGACTTGAACAAAGCGTCGAACATCATGACTTCACGCTATGTATACAAATGGAAGTTTGTCAAGAACGAGAAGGGCGAAATGGAACGGACGATCAGGTTACGCTTGGTACTCCGTGGCTTCATGGACATTGAAGCCTTCGATGTCGAAACCTTCTCTGGCACAGCAAGGAGGTCAAACCAGAGACTGCTCGCAAGTTCTGCTGCATGCAGCAAAGCTTGGATCATCGCTTCCCTGGACATCAACATGGCTTTCTTAAAAGGACTGACCTATAGTGAGCTCGCCGCGGCAACGGGCGAGAAAGAGCGTGTGGTGTGCTTCGCACTACCTCCTGGGTCAGCAGCTGTCCTTCGTACACTGCCAGGCTTTGAGTCATATGACGAATCAAAGCACTGTCTTCGGTGTCTGAAGCCGGGGACTGGCACGAAGGATGCTCCCAGGGCATTCTCGTTGAAGCTCAGGTCCATCACTAGGAGCTTTGGACTACAGCCTACTTCATACGACGAAGAGTTCGAGATGAGCCCAAACCTCTTGACAGCCAAACACGTTGATGACATTAATATGACTGGGAAGGAAGATGCTATTGACAAGTATGTCAAGTGTGTTGAAGATACGTTTGGAAAGTGCAAACTGAACAAGCACACATACACAAACTGTGCCGTTCGGTACAACAAGACCGATGATGGGAGCGTCACTCTCGATCAGGACGAATACATCAAACAGCTTCGTCCTATCACACATCCAGAACTCACAGGCGCTGATCCTGAGAGCAAAGCGACAAAGACGATTTCTGATATGTTCGTCAGTCTTCGCGGCGCTCTAGCCTATGCGTTGATTACGCAGGTATGGCTGATGGTCTATGTTGTCTCACTACAACGTATCCAGGAACCGACAAACATCCAGGTACGACGACTAAACGCGGTTACCAGAAAATTGCAGGCAGGTCCGAAGAAGATCGTGTATCAAGCTATGACTCCAACAGGAGAAGTCGACCTGCATAGCGATTCTGGCTATCGTCGTCTCAACGGAGATGAAGACGACGAAGTCAAAGGCTATGGTATCCGCGGGGCTAACCTGCTGAGGCGTGGCCACACGCAAGCGGGGAAACCCGTCGTGCACCTGGTGGACGCATACTGCAAGTCTCATCGACTGCAGGTGCGTTCGAGCTACTCTGCGGAAACACTGGCAGCAGCCCACAACTTGGAAGACTGCTACCCGACCATTGTAACGCTCCACGAGCTACACTCGGGACCATTGACCCCCACACAGTTAAAGAACATATTGGAAATGGGTGGTCTATGTATCAAAGTCACTCTGACTATTGATGCCGAGTCCGTCTTCAAGTCTTTGTCTAGCAAAGATCTGAAGAAGCCCACAGAATGTACTCTGCTTGGGCACATTAGCTGGATCCGCCAGATGATGGAGCGCGGAATCGTTGAAAGCGTTCAATGGTGTGACACGCGGGATATGACTGCCGATGGTCATACCAAAGGTAGTATTGACCGCGCGTTGCTCCTACAAGTAATGGCCGGCCAGCAATCCTTCAAGCACGAGCTGAAGAAACATACACCGTATAGGGCGGGCAGGTCGTCTCAAGACGGCCCTGCCTCCCGAGCTAGCGGGGAAACCCGCATGCAGGTGCGCTTTAGTAGCGAGGAAACTCGCCGGTAGCGAGGCTACTCGCGCGCCCTTACCTTGTAGGCAGCCGCTGTTGCCTAGTACTGGTTTTTCCGCGTAATGTAGTAATGCGGTGCTCGCTCGTCTCCTCCCCCTCCGACTTTAAACGGAGAAGGTTAAAGGCGAGATGTATATCGAGCATGCACCGCTGCCGTGCCTGGCTCAAGCCGGGCCCGGCCTAATATGTGATTGTGCCTCACCGAGGCGCACGATTCGTATCTGAGATCGGAAAATACCTTTTCCATTGACGATGCCCATCCTATCCTTTACTCCAGATCCCATGCTTCGTCTTGCTCTCTTGCTCATGCGATATGAGCCAAAGCCTGGGATATGGGAACGCCTAAGGCGTAATATATATCGAAGCTTACCAGTGCGATTTCGACTCATTATTGTTGGCTTCCAGACGCCCTCTTGGGGGTCCGCTTGGGGCCATCTTGGTCCGTCTTGGAGGCCTCTTGGGCCTTCTTACGGCCATGCTTGGCAGTCTTGGGGCCATCGTGGGCCATCTTGAGGCCATCTTGAGTTGCTTTGAGTCCATCTTGGGCCCGCAAGATGCCCAAGGGGCCAAATCATCGAATGAGAAACAGCCGCAGGAGCATGTGGACGATGGTGACGATGACGGTCACAAGGATGGTGGTGATGGTGATGATGGTGATGATGGTGATGACGACGATGATGATGATGATGATGATGATGATGATGATGATGATGATGATGATGATGGTGATGGTGATGGTGATGGTGATGGTGATGGCGATGGCGATGGCGATGGCGATGGCGAAGGCGAAGGCGATGGCGAAGGCGATGGCGATGGCGTTGGCGGCGATGATGACGACGATGCTGAGACAGATAACGGCGGTCACGAGGATGATGGTATTGTGGATATGACGGCACATGTGTCGCTCGCAAACGCGAACAGGATTTGCGGCAAGAGGCTCGCAGAAGTGCCGATGCCCTTGTGCAGCTACAGGCGCAGTGCTCCACTGGGCGGGACAGGAGGGAGGGGGAGGGGAAGCGGCCGAGACTGGAAGGGAGAGAGAGAGAGAGACCACCAAATCCCTCATCGCTCTCATCCGTCCTCACGCTCATCCGTGTCACCGCCATCGTCCGTCTGCGTTTTGGCTCACTTCTTGGGCTCGATGCTTTCTCACTTGGAGTGTTCGGCCGGCTGGTTTTCCGCACGAGCGTGGTGCCAAATGCATCTCTCCAGTGACCGTCCCAGGCATCCTTTTTGGGGGATGCAGTGCAGGCGTTTGCTGAACGTTCTGCACCGTTGTGTGGCGACCAGCTCGGAGGTTGTGGGTCGAATGTTCGTTCTTTGAGATCTCGTGTTCACGATTGTTCTGCTCGATTGCTCGTGTTCCCGAAAAGTCAAGCAGTGGCGAAGCGTCCCGGCTCGCTTATAGACCCACCAAACAATGTTCTAAGAACCTTTTGTGGTTCCCACGAAATGTTCTTAGAACATTTCAGGCTGGGACTGTCGTGTTTTATCACATCGGGTTTATGTTCTAAGAACATTGTTTTTGTTATTAGAACAGGTCTGGGTTCTAAGAACATGTCGTGGTAGGACTATAGGAATGCCGGGACGGTCGGTCCCTGCTCAAAAAAGGGTCCACAAATTTGACATGTCGCCACGATGTTTCCGGATCTGTTTTTGCAGCCGGGTTCGGGATAGTTGTCTTGGTCGGGATGTGCGCATAATATGATCGTGCGCAGATCGGCCCGAAGCGCTTGAGCTACGTTTTCTACTCGAGTTCGTGGTGACCGTCAATATGGTTCCAAGCATTATGATTTGATCACCATTCTGCTTTTGGTATTACCTCTTGTCATTCCCGAACGTGTTGACGTTGTCACTATTGTTGCAGGGCGCGGAATCGTTCAGTTCAGACACAGGCCATTGGTTTGCCGCGCGAATATAAACTGGCCAGGTGGGAACAGGACGCGGGCAGGGATGTTGGGAGGGTGATAAGGGGGAAACCGAGGGGGAGAATGCAGATGAGGACAAGGAGTAGCAGGTGAAAGGAGGAGTAGCAGAAGCATGAAGACGGGCAGGATCAGGGCAAGCATCCTCGCGCTCTTATGTCCGCCTGCTGTGGGCCACCAGCGGCCAGGCGCGGGATGAGACATTGAGGAAAGTCCAGGCGGAGCATGAGGACCGATGCGTCCCTCCTCCACCCTTCTCTTCATCCCTCTTCCTCGTCATTTGCCTTCCCTCTTCCTCCTCCTCCGCTTCTCCCTCCTTCCTCGCCCTCTCCCTCCCTCCCCTCCTCGATCCTCCTATCTCCCTCATCCCCCTCATCCCCCTTCCCTTTCCATCTCCCTTGTTTCATCCCCCTCATCCCAAACACTCCCACCTTTCCGTCTCTGTTTCCTCATTCGCCTCGTACCCCCCACCCTCTTCCTTCCCAGCCCCCGCCCACCGCCACCCTCACACACCCACCACCTCCCCCACGTTTCTCAACACTCATGCTCCCACTCCCTCTCCTCCTTCTCCCCTTTCCAGTGCTTCCCTCTCAGCCCTCACCCGCTCACCCTCACTTCGCTCCCCCCTCCCTCGCCCTCCCTTCCCCGTTTCCTTAGCCCGTCCCTGCCTCCATTGGCCGATGTGCCATGTAGGCCTCGGGGCCGCTCGGGGCCATGCTGGGGCCCACGGGCGGGCCTTCGGAGCCACTGACTGGCTATCCTGGAGGCGTTCGATCACAAACGAGGGTGCACTTGATCGGCGTACCCCCTCCGACGTCAGAAACATTCCATGCATCTCAGGGTCCTCTTACCCTCTCGGGGCGTTCTGCATCTACAAGTGCATGGCTTGGAGGTCCCCTTCTGGGCTTTTCTTGGGGCTCTCTGGCGGTCTCGACGCCGTCTTTAGGCCTCAAGGACAACACATTCGTCGGGAATTCTTTAATATGATGCAGTGCCTTGCATATTCTTGTGATCGCCCTTGGCGCCTGGTCCGCGTAGGTGCGTGGCGTTGTGGCCTGCGCAGTGCCTGGGTGTTTTGTGTGTCTTTTCTTCATGTCGTGTGGCTTGGTGTTAGATGAAGCTTTTGGCTTGTAAGTGCCACGCTCGTGGTTCTGCTTGCATGTGTACTTGCATGGTGTGTGTGTGATGCGCCCTGCTATGCCCTGTTGCAGCAGTTGGAAGTTAGCAAGCGAAAAAGGCCAGAACAGTGTTCCTTTCGACTCCTCCGATTCGAAACGATTCGATTTCGACGATTTCCGATTCCGAATCGATTTCTCCTGGTTCGGCTGACAAGTTTAGCCGATCCGATTCAGTTCGATCGCCGATCTGACTTTTCGATTTGATTGTGGTCCCTCCGTCCCGAAGGCACATACATTTAAGAGCCAGAGGTTTTCGGGTCAGCTTGGCCTCTCAAGGGCATCCTTGGGGGACTCCATGGCCACCTCGAGCCGTCTTGGGGCTGTCGCGGTGCCTCTCGAAGCCACGTTGGAGACCATCTTCAATCAAATTGGATTCGAGGGAAGAAACACGGGGACCATGACCAAGACGTTGCGGGATTTAATCGCAGCTATCTATAAGGCCGTCTTGAACGCTCCAGCCCATCTCGAAGCCACAGTCTGGACCCCGCCCGGGGAGGACTTCCCCAATATGGGGGGCCATCCCCTCCTGGAGCTAAATCATTCAGCCTCGGCGCTCGCTGTCCCGTCGTTGACCAGGCAAGGCTAGAAAAGGCCGCACAGGGCAAGCCACGCCTCCCGCATGACGTCGCGGGGGCCATGTTGGCCCAAGGTGGCCGCTAGCATGGCTGACATATTCCCCAAGATGGCGCCTCTCCGGGATGCACCCCAGAGGCACCAGTGAGTAGAACACTGCTCGCTTGGCTGGTGTTAGATGTCTCTCGCATTTTCGACCACCGATAGGCCCCTGACTTCTCAAGATGGCCAAAAGACGGCTCAGGACGTCCGGAGAGAGGCCCAGAATAGCTCCAGGAGGGAGGGCCCCGAAGGCCACAAGTAGCAACCCAGGAGACCCCAGTTCCGAGGCTGGGCCCAACGACGAGTTCCGCACGTATCCCGAAAGATCCCAGGACGGCGCCAGCGGCTTCATAGGCTCATAGACCCATAGACCCAACAAAAGGCCGCGAACACCATCCCCAAAAAACCACAGAAGGATCACACATCTGGGTTTCCCTAATGGGGTCCGAGTGGGCGGGGCCAGAGGATCGCGCCGCATCGCCGACGCATCGGGGATGCACATCGATGTGGAGCTCGACTCTCTCCGCGCCGATGAATCGGCGATGCATTGGTGACGACGACGACGACGACGACGACGACGGCGACGACGACGACGATGACGACGACGACGACGACGCCGGCGACGCCGACGACGACGACGGGGAGAGAAAGGGGGGTGACTCCCAACCCCGAAGGGTCGAGTGGGCTGGGAGCCGGTGCCCTGAACCGTCCGCGCCCAGAGGGCTGGCAGGATCAGTGTCGTGGTGCCCCTCGTTGTCCATGGGGAAGCTCGGTGTCACGTGCTTTTTGTTCGAGGTCCTTGTCGCCCGGTAAGCCGATGTAAGTATGTGCTCCTTTACACACGTACAAGATCTTCACGGTCTGAGCGCCTCCGCCGTCTGTTGCTTCCCCCTCCGCGCCTGTCCTTCTTTTGTTGTACCCAACGGGGCTCCGACGTGTCCCTCGGCTGTCCTGGCCGCGTCTTTCGGTGAACAAGCAATGACCTACACATAAGACTCATGGGTTCACGCAGATTCCTCGGATCGGCATTCGACCCCCTTCTTTGGCGCGCGGAGCGCGCCAGGGGCCCCAGCGTCGATCTGAGAAATCCGCGTGGACTTTCGAGTTTGTTCACTTATTTCTGCTTGCTTCACATCCCCCTCCCCGCTCCCACACCATCCATCTGCCATCTGCATGATGTCCGCCTCCCCCCACTTCCCATCATTCCCCGTCCCACTCCCCCTCCCTATATGCTTCCCCCACCCCCGCTCCACTAGATCAACCCCTCTGCCGATCCTCCCGTGATTTGTTCGCCCAGCATCACCTTTCGGCCACAGAAGTCGACGACGATGAGCATGTTACAAACATCAGATGTCTGCGCGGATTTCTTGGATCGAAAGTGGACCTCCCTCCCTGGTTGTCCAGTGCCGATCCAAGAAACCCGAGCAAACCGCTGACAGTTCATGGTTATGCCGTTGATTGGTTCCTCTAAGAGGATGTCTTTGTTCTCACCTGAGCGGCCCCATCCCTCGGAGAGCGCACTCAGGAGCTCCTCAGGATGCTTGAGGAGGCCCGCGAGGTCGGTCCACGAAGCAGTGCAAGATGTGCGGGGAAGGAAGGGGCATGGAGCAACGATTGGGGGAAGGCCCAGGGAGGAGTGCATCGACCCCCAATCGCCCATCCATCGCAAACAGGGGCCTGGGGCCTATCGCCGATCTGTCGGCGATGCATCGCCGATTCGAGGTCGATACCTTCCCTCCGCTGAGCCAGTCCCCCCCCCTTACCAGCCTGAAACACATCCCTATCCCTATAATTGGCACCTCCTTATCTCGGTGCCGATCGTAAGGATCCCCCAGTGTCTGAAGGCGCATGCCCTCAGAGTGAGATTGTCATCTGTCGATCTTAGGGATGGGGTCAGTTCGAGGCTGGCTGCTCCCCATCCACACCGAGCGGCCCCCTCGGGGCACGCTCGGCGGAGAGTTTCGTTAGGGGGGAAGCTGCTCGTCCACATCTCAGCAGGGAAGCGTGTACACATAGACAAATAACAGTAGATGTTCAAAAAAATCGTGGAGCATATTGGAAATGGAAGGGGCAGATACACATAGACTAAAATCGGAGGTGAGGGGGTGAGATCGAAGTGGAATGGAGAGCCCTCCTACCGGGAAATCGGTTTCGGTTTCGTGTTCGTGCGTGCCGTGCGTGCGGGCGAGGCGAAGTTGCGTGGGCGGGCGAGAAGAAAGTCTCCTCCGGCTAAGGCGTGGCCGGATCAAATGATTCCTTTCCGGGGGCCGGTGGCCCGCGGTGTCCCGCCGGTGTCCCGCCTCCGGCTGGGCCGCGGCCGGACCTTGCAAATGATTCCTTTCCGGGGGACGGTGGCCCGCGCTGTCCCGCCGGTGTCCCCCCGCTGTCCCGTCGGTGTTCCGATGGTAATGATGATGATGATGATGATGATGATGATGATGATGATGATGATGATGATGATGATGATGATGATGATGATGATCATGATCATGATCATGATCATGATCATGATCATGATCATGATGATGATGCTGATGCTGATGATGTTGATGTTGATGTTGATGATGATGATGCTGATGATGCTGATGATGATGATGATGATGTCGATGATGTCGATGATGCTGATGACGATGATGACGATGATGATAGTGATGGTGGTGATGATGATGGTGTCCCGATGATGATGGTGATGATGCTGATGACGATGTCAATGATAATGATGTTGATGGTGGTGATGATGATGGTGTCCTGGTAACGATGATGTTGATGATGATGATGTTGCTGACGATGATGGTGGTGTCCCGATGAAGATGATGATGATGATGACGATGATGATGATGATGATGATGATGATGTTGGTGATCCTGATGATGATGTTGATGATGATGGTGTTCCGATTAGGATGATGGTGTCCCGATGAAGATGATGATGATGATGATGATGATGATGATGATGATGATGATGGTGATGATGACGATGATGATGATTATGATGATGATGATGATGATGATGATGATGATGATGATGATGATGATGCTGGTGACGATGATGGTGTCCCGATGATGATGACGATGGTGTCCCGATGACGATGATGATGATGATGATGATGATGATGATGATGATGATGATGGTGACGAGGTGATGATGATGATGGCGTCCCGATGGTGATGATGATGATGATGATGTTGTTGACGTTGATGACGATGATGAGGATGATGATGATGATGATGATGATGATGATGATGATGATGACGATGATGATCATGATGATGATGATGATGATGATGATGATGATGATGATGATGATGATGAGGTGAATTGTGAGATCGATTGTGATATTGATAGTGAGATCGATCGTGAGACCGAATGTGAGATCGATTGTGTGATCGATAGTGAGATCGACAGTGGGATCGATTGTGAGATCGATAGTCGGATCGATTGTGAGATCGATCGAATGAAATAGATCGAGTGAGATCGATTGTGAGATCGATCGAGTGAGATCGATCGAGCGAGACCGATAGTGGTATCGATAGTGAGATCGATCATGAGACTGATCGAGTGAGACGTTGTTTCCTCCCCCCCGAACCTCCTTATCACCCGAAGGGTGGTCGTATAGGTATTGAAAAAACATGGTGTTCTGGGATTTGTGCCTATTTTGTCGTGTCTCCGTAGGCCTCTTGAATATCAGAGGCCAGGGCAGTGCGGATCCGCAGGTCGGCCTCGGCAATCGTCGGATGGCGATCGTCCGCTGGGGGGGGGGGGAGGGGGGGGGAATCTGGGAAATCCACTGCGAAGTCACTGGGGGCAGCGGGAGGAGGGGGGAGGGGGAGGGGATGCGGGAGAGGTGCGCGGGAAAGGGAGAGGAGGACGGGCCCAAACCTTTTATTCCTAATGATATTGGCCCCTCCTACTTAGGTCCCCTCCGAAAAGCATTCGGGATTTTTTTATTGTTGATCATACAGTGGCAGGAGGGATAGAGGAACACACGAGTCAACCACCTCCAGTGTCAGCATAGAGCGAAGGCAGGAGACACGCTTAAAGCTCAGTAGGGAGCAAACCCGTCTCGCACACAGTCGAGGAGCGATTCCGACTCATATGGCTTAACATGCACATGGCAACATCTCCTCAGTTTCCTCCCCCCTTCCTTTTTCAACCGCGCGTCCCAAACATGACATGAAGAACGCCTCGCTTGTTCTGTTGGGGGTTGTGGCGTGTCGCTGTCCTACTGTGGCATGGCGCCCCCCACAGTGGTGCGAACATGTTTTCTCTGGGAGCCACGCTCCGCGTTTCTCTTATCACCCTGTCTGACCTCTCGTGGGGCAGTGCCCTCCTCCTGAAACCACGCCTTCTGGCTTGAGCGGTCTCGGGCCGATCCCGATCCTTCTCTTGGGTCCCCCCCTAGCGCCGCTGCGAGAGTGGGGCTTGACAGGTCAAGAGCAAGCCGGGAAGGTCCTTCATGCCGAGGCGTGCCGCCGATGGGCGAGGAGGGTGGGGGAGTGAGGGACAGAGGAGAAGGAAGGGAGTGAGAAAGATGGAGGGGGGTGAAGCGTTTCCGAAAGGACCGCGCCACCATCGCGGCTCGCTCTGCGCGCGAGCCCTGGCTGCGGGTGGATGAGAGGAGGGGGCCAATTGAAGAGTCGAAGAGACATTGGAAGGTGTGAGGACGAGGAGGAGGAGGAGGGGAAGTCAGTTTTGCTCTACCGACGGCATACGCTACTTCGCTGGCTACCTCTCGCTCCCAAGCTATGACTTCTTCCATCCTACCCAACCTACGCGCTCACTGCCCCACAGGGCGGCAGCAGCACCGTCAGCACCGTTCCTCTCCAGCGGCCGCAGCATACGCACTGGCAGAACGACACCAGGTCCGACCACTTCTCCTCTACACAAGCGGAGCGGCAGTCTCCACAAACGCTTCCACGACTACGCCTATGTCCATTTATGGTACTCCCCAAGCTCGTTGCACATGGTCTACTCCGATGATCTTGCCTACTACTATCTCTTCTGCTACCTCTACCCCCTTCTGAGGCACCTCAAGCCCTCGCTAAATTATACCTCCTTCACCTTTCTCGTCCCACAGCCCCGTCCCCCCCACCTTCTCGCCCGATAACCTTCTGCCCCTCGCCCCAGCACCGGCCGCAGGGAGTGGGGGCGGGATGGGCCGCTGGGAAAGGAGGGGAGACCAGAGGGGCCGCTCTCAGCACAGGCCGCCGTGGTGGGCTACAGCCCCCACCCCACGGCGGCCGTGGACCAGGCAACCGCGCCCACCTCCAAGAGCCACGCCAATGGCGCCACCATTCCCCCTCCTCGGGGTGGGGTGGCCCCGCCCGGGCCACCTCTTCCACTTGCCCGCACATTTTTTCCCACCTCTCGAATGCATGTCGCCACCGCGCTGCCTCTGCCACCCGCGCTGCGCCCCTGTAGCCGCCCAGCGGCCAGGCTTCCCCCCCCCCCCCCGCACCACCCTCTCGCTGTTTGCCGCCGCGCCGCACCAGATCTAGGTCTCGCACCCCTATCTTGTCATTTCGGGAACCTCAGATGGCCGGAGGGGTACGCCAAGATGGGTCCCAGCTCCCCCCAGGGGGGCTGGGGCCCACGCTCGGGCCCCACCTGCGCACGCACACTGGCCGCCACTGACAGTCTCACCCTGCTCCTCTCCCCCGCCTCCCTGGGTGCATCAGCATCATCGAGGTCCGTCCCCTTTCTCTCCCTTGTGCCTCTTCTTCTTTGTTCGTCCCTCTCCCAGCGCGGGCTGGGAGGAAGGATCTCGATGGCATCGGGGCGATGGCTCGACAATGCCCGCAGCCCGAAGCTCGAAAGAAGAGGAGGAGGAGGAGGAGGAGGAGGAGAAGGAGGAGGAGGAGGAGGAATATGGAGAGGGAGAGAGGACGATGGGGGAGGAGGATGGGATGGGAAGGAGGAGGGAGAGAGGAGGTGTGCAGACGAGGTGGCGGGCGAGGAGGGGGAGAGGAGTGAGGGAGCGAGGAGGTCGGAGGGGACGGGAGGCGCATGGAACCGTGAGGGAAGGCGGGGGGAGGAGTGATAGGAGGGAGGCGCAAGGCAAAAGAGGATGCGGGGAGGGGGAAGGGGTACGGGTACCGAAGGGGGTAGAGGATATGGGCGAGGGAGAAGGACATCAGACTTTGACAAAACGTAAGGTTCTTTTGGGCGCCAAGAGCTGTTTTTATGGGGGGGGGGTCGAGATGTCGGCCCTGAGGATGCCATTCCCCCACATCCTACTTGCGTCTCCAGGGTAGCGTACACGAGCACTTCCCGAGGCTGGGCGTATACACGGATGAAAAGTAGAGACTGAACCCATGCAGGGCGCACGGCACAGAGAAGAAGCTCTTCTTGGTCCGATTGACTCTGCAACTGCTAAAGCCCATTGAAGGTTGCACCTGGCCATCGCATGTTGGGTAATCAGCTGACAGTTTGTGCAGCGCTCAGTGGCGCGAGAGTCGCCTGCCAGCACCTTGAGGGTCAAAAGGAGAATGAGGGAGCGGAGGAAGAGGTGTGAGTGTAGAAACAGAGGACACTATGGAGGTGACGTAGGGATCGTACCATGAGTGTGGATTCGCAGTGTTATGCGTATGATGACGAGCCAAAAAGGCATGAACCGGAGAAGGAGGCGACTGCGAGCAACCAGGAGCAGGAACACATGCAGCGGTGTTGGCGTTACCGATGGAAGCGGAAAGGAACTAGGACCAGGAGCAATGATTCTCTTTGTGTTGCCATATTGGAACAAGCCAGCGTTGAAGCGGCACCCCGCGCAGACTTGCACGCAGTTATTTGCCAGACGTGCAGGCAGGACGGACCAGCAAGGATGGATGGTGTGGAGCGAGAGGGGGATTTCAAGCTATGTGCGCTCGCGCCTCATCTGACATCCTATCCCTCCCTCCCATCCCTTCCATTACGCTGATTTTTCCCCTATCCGCGGACGCGTGTCGTAGCCGACCTGCAATTTTAGCCAACAGACCACATCGTGTTATGCGCAATCGGAAGGAGCTGTGTGCACAGGAGGAGAATGTGGCGGGTGAGCAGGAGGATGAGCGGGAGGAGGACGATAAGGACGAACAGCAGCAACAGCAGCAGCAGGAATTGGAGGGGACGGAGCGGGAGGAAAAGGAGGACCAGGGGAAGGCGGAGGAGGGAAATGGGGGGGGGCGACAGCAATGAAGAAAGATTCGGATGAAGAAAAGTGGCCCGCGCTGGGGCGAGAGCGCCATGCTGAACGACGGGAGCAAAGCGCCGATCCGAAAACGATGCCCACGCTGCAGCAGGAGCACGGTCGTGAAACATAAAAAACAATCGGGTTGCAACATCTGATTAGACACGTCAGCGTTTGATCACCTGTGCATAAAGAAAAGCAGCACGCGAAGAGGGCCCCGTATTTTCCGGACGGAGTCAGGGAACATAGACGGAGTATTGTTCTAATTGTGGAGCCGCCTGGGGGCCCAGCAGGAGAGGGGTGGGGGTTTGGGGCGAGGTGAGAGCTTCTGGATTCGAGAAGGCCGTTTGCCTCTCTCGGGGGCCGTGTTCAGGTCCCGGGGCCGGGAAAATCTGCACCGAGTGGAGCGGGAGGGTCCGGGGACCGACGTTGAACGGATGTGGTGCCATCCCCCCTCCTGGCAATTTTTTAGGGGGGTCCCAACCAGTGAGACCCCCCAACCGCCTCCAAAGAGGGACACTCTGCGCGCGCCGCCAGATTCTCTATGAAATCTACGGCGTCCACCAACAACCTCGGTCATAGCATGTACGCGGCGACCATGCGGGGCTCTCCCGACGATTGGGATCACAGAAGGCGGGCCAGCTGTATGTGTGTCTGTTCGTATCGCTTAGTTTCTTCATTTCTCTTTATCTTTATATGTTTTGTTTTTGTTTTTATCTCTCTCTCTCTCCCTCTCTCTCTTTCTACGTGTATATGTACGTGCATAAAAATGTACCCTGCATGTTTTCTCCCCCTCCCTCTCTTTCTCTTTCTCTCTCTCTCTCTCTCTTGCCCTGGTTCTTTTGATTATGAACGTGAGCATATACACGTCCAGGACGCGCTGGGCACCTTGGTCCTTCAAGTTTCCCCCACCGGCAGAATCAGATAGAAAAAGATGGAGAGCACCATCGTGTATTGCCCCCGTTTTTGCTCTCGTCGTTCTTTCCCGTTTCCTTCTCCTATTTCTTCCATTTCTCAATCATTCTGTAATCGCTTCGCTCATTCCGCCGACCCTGGAGCCCTCTTTAGGGCCTCTTGGGGGCCTGTTGGGGACTTCTTGGGAGTCTCTTGGGGCTCCTTGGCGGCGTCTTGGGGGCCCCCAGGGCATCTTGGGGGGCTCTTGGGGGCCTCTTGGGGCGGGAGGGGGGCTAGTCGATTGCGGCTCCCCCCTCGGAGGCCACGATCCTCGTGAGGGGTGTCGAAAAATTGCCCTCCTTGGAGCGCTCTGGGGGCTTCTCCCGGGACCTTGCTGGGTACTTTTCGTCCGGGGGCCCCCAGGGGCCGCTCCACGCGCGCGAACTAGAAATATTGTTAACCAGTTACCGGAGATCTTAGCACGCCTCTGGCCCGTTGGGCCGGCGAATTCCTCGTTCTCTCGGCTTCGTGTTCCCCGTTCTCTTTGTTAGTTTTCGGCGGAGGTTCCTTTGTGGTGGGGGGGGTATCCCAGGGAGCCTCTGGACGTCTTCCTTGTCAGCTTCTCGTGGGCCTCCAGAGGCCTCCTTGGAGCCCATCGGGAGCCTCTGGGAGCTTCTTGGGGCCATCTTGAAGCCAACCGCAGATCAGTTCTCGACTTGGAATGCTTTGGGGGGCGTCTTGCGGTCATCTTGGGCGTCTTAGGGCTTTCGTGAGGCTGTCTCGGGGCCCTGCTGGGCGCTTCCGAGGAGCAGAAAAAAGGGCTTCAAAGGAGAGGTTCAAAGAAAGCCCTGCGGGGCTTTCGGCAGGAGAGGTTCAAAGGGGGGTAGCGGTAGCTAAGCCCCCCCCCATGGGAAGGGGGGGGGGTCTGCTTCTGGAGCGCGAAAGGAGAGGAGGGGTAGCTCGGATCCGAGGGGCGCGGGAAAGAAGGAGAGGAGAGGGGGGGGAGGCCTCCGGCAGGGGGGAGATCCAAGGGGGAGGGGCCCCCCCCCCCCTTTGGAAAGGGAGGGGGGGGGATAGCGGATAGCTTTCTAGAACGCGAAAGGAGGGGGGGGGGGCTTCCGGCAGGGCAGGTCCAAGGGGGGAGGTAGTGGTAGCTAAGGGGGTACCCCCCTCAGGGCGTCCAAGAGAGCCCCGGGAGAGCTTGAAGACGGCCTGGTGAAATCGGTATGGTGTGTATGTGCATCGCGAGCCGTAGTTCACGTGCGTGGAGCAATGTATGTGGTGCAGCGTATGCGGTGCAACCAGCGCGATGCACTCTACGTGGTGCAGCCTGCGTGGTTCAGTCATCGCAGACCATGTGCAGCCAGGGCAGCCGCGAGGCGTCCACGGGCGGCGCCCGCCCGTAAGCCGGCAGCGCCAGCCAGCGCACGAAGCGGCCGCGAGGCGGCCGCCCGCGAACCACCCAGGAAGCCCAGCTGGCGCACGAGCCGGGCGCTGCGCAATGCGGGGGGGGGATATTTTTTGGGGGTGGGGTGAAGGAAGGTGGACGTTTTGTGCCCTGCAGGGGGCCCACTTTGGGGCAAGAAGGTGCATGATTCCCCCCCCCCACCCCCCCTTATGATACGCCTCCCCCCAGTAAGCAACGCCCACACAGCGCGGCCGCGGCCGCGGGCGGCCGCCCGCCGAAAACCCGGAAAACCCAGCCAGCGCACGAGGCGCCCCGGAACGCCCCACCAATTCTTGTGAAGGCCTCACGGCCCGTGCTGCCGACCTTGAAGGGAAACGACGACGATGACCGCCCGCCGAAAACCCGGCGAGCAATCAAGTGAGGTGTTTTCGAACACCCAGCCAACTATTTAGAAGAAAAAACAACATGTTTGCGAATCGCCAGTGTGGGAAATCGTGGATTCCTTCCTCGTCTGGGAAGCAACTGAGAAAGCGGCCTGGTATGAGGTCTACGGGAAAGTATTACAGAACAAGGGAAACATCAGGAGGCGAACGCATTGCAAATAGGGTAGCACCTCGATCCTCAAGCCTCAAACCCTATTGATCCTCGAGCCCACACCTCGCCGTGGATGAGGGTATGGCTTGAGTTCAGCGTCTTCTTGCTTCTTCCCGCTCCTCTTGCCGCTTCTTCTCGCTTCTTCTCGCTTCTTCTCCTGTCTGCGATCCTCGAGCCTCCACCCTGGAGGTCCACCTTCTCGCTTCTTCCCGCCATTCCCTCAGCACTCCAATCCACTGCCCCACTCACCTTCATCTCCCTCGTCCTCTCCACATGTCCTCGCCCTCTTCTATCCCATCTTTTCCCAATTTTGAATCGTCATCCTCTCACTTACTCGTGCGTTTCACCTGTATCCCCTCTTTCTCTTCCTCTTCTCCCTCCTCCTTTTCCTCCTCCTCCTCCCTCGTCGCCCTCCCTGCCCTTTCTCCCCCCCCTTCTGCTCGTCGCCCCTGCATCCCCAGGAGCATCAGCAGCGAGGCTAGCGAGCAGCACTCCAAGGACACCACGCCCCTCTAACCCCCCCCCCTCGAGCTCCCGTGCTGGCGCGGGCGCGGAGTATGGAGGGAAGCACGGTGACGAGAAACTTCCTCTTCCTCCTGCTCTTCCTCCTGCTCATAAGTAACTCCTCCCCGTCGCACCCCGAGGCCAGTCGGAAGGGCGGGCCTGGCGGTTCGCCTGAGGTTTCCCCACCACTCATGACCTTGAAGCTTAAGCATTGGCAACAGTTTCACAGGTAGAGGTCGGGTTTTTTAATGTGGCTCTCGCTTTGGCGCCCCGCACTTTCGTTTTTAAGAACTGTCAGAGTTTCACGGATTGAGGGCGGGCCGTTTTCGGAATGTGGCTCTCGCCTCAGCGCCGCGCACATTAGTTGTGAAAAATTGAAAGGGCTTCGCGGATTGAGGGCGGGTCGCTTTCAACATGTGGTTCTCGCCTTAGCGCCGCACATTTTCGTTTGACTAAAAGTCGCAAGAGCTTCGCGGGTTGAGGGCGGTTCTGTTTCAACATGTGGGTCCCGCTTGAGCGCCGCGCACATTCGTGTTAAGATAGTGCAGCAGTTTCACGGAATGGACTTGTGCAGCGATTCAGGGATTAACTTTTGCTTGAGGTTCGCGGGTGGACGGCAGTCCGTTTTCGAGTGCGGTTCTCGCCCCGCCGCCGCACACACTCGTTTTCGCAAGATGCGAGAGGTTAGCGGATTCAGGGCGGTCCCTTGTCAAATCGTGGTTCTCGCCTCAGCGCCGCGCACATTGGTTACAATACGTTGTAGGCGTTTCAGTGGTTCTCATGCTTAACGTGCCAGAGATAGTGGCTTGGAGCGGTTCGGGATTGTCAGGGCGCAACAGTTTCGTTGATTCGCGGTGCTCAAGTCGCAGGAGTTGGCACGATTCAGGATCGTCAAGACGAAACAATGAAGGTGATTAGTGGCCTTGGAGTCCTGAGAATTGAGTTCTGGCACGCGTCAGGATTTTCACACGGCTGTCCCCCGACGGGACATTTCTTTCCGTGGAAATGAATTTTGTGGGGGCCAATGATGGGGGAATTTGGATGGAGGATGTATTCAAATATCGTTGATGAGTCTCGGGTTTGCATTGGTTGTCCTCCGTCCATTCACCCTCCTCCTCATCTTCCTCCTCCTCCCTATCCTCATTCCCCTCCTCCTCCATCTCCCCTCCCCCTTGCCCCCTCCTCCTGCTCCTCCTCCCCCTCCTCCTCCGCCCCCACTTTTATTTCTTTCCTGGTGCATACGTCCTCCCTGTCGCACCCTCAGACGTGTCAGTAAGGCGGGCTGGGCGTTCTGCTTGCGATGTTCTCGCCACGTATGGTCCTGATTCGTGAAACTTGCAACAGTTTCACGAGTGGAGGGCGGGCCGTTTTCAGAACTTGGTTTTCGCGTTAGCGCCGCGCATATTCGGTTTAAGCGTGCGCAATAGCTTCACGGGTGGAGGGCGGTTCTTTTTCAACATGTGGTTCTCACGTTGGCGCCGCGCACATTCGTTTCAAGAGTTTGCGACATTTCTGACACTGGAGGGCCGTTCTTTTTCAACATGTGGTTCTCGCCTTAGCGCCGCGTGCATGTTGCATTAATGTTTGCAACATATTCAAGGGTTCTGGTGGTCCAAGTCCCAGGGATTATGTTCTGTCACGATTTGGGATTGGATCCCAGGAGTGGTATTCTGGCGCGGCTTCGGATTGGCAGAACGCGACCGTCACGTGGATTCGCGTCGCTGAAGTCTCAGGAGTTGTTTCTTTACACGGTTAAGGATTCTCCGACGTTTGTTTTTTGATGGGCCGTTTCCCGTAATGAGCATTGATTCTTGTAGTGACCTGGCATGTGAAGAGGGAACTTGGAGTGAGGGTCTGTTGCAACATCGTTGGTGCGTCTTGGGTTAGCTCAGTTCTTCATCTTTCCCCGCGAGTCCAGGTTGAAAGACGCCAGTTACAGTTATGTTTATGCCGCGTCAGGGAGGTGCCCGCGGTGCGGCTCTTCAGTTGGAAACACCTCTGCATCGGTTATGGTCTTGTGACTGTGATCGTTCGGTTCCTGATGCGGCCGTCGATCGCACGAAGTACTCTGGCTGTGGTTCGGTGCTCTGCCGCCTTGTGCCGATTCTTGTGCGCACTTGCTTGCTCCGATCAAGATTGTCTAGGGATGGGGGAGGTTGGCGGTGGGCGGGCAGATCGAGGGAGAAGTTTGGGGCATCGATGGGTCGGGAGGTAGTAAACACTAAGGACTTGCGTTTGCGACGCTTTGGATGGGCGTGCGTCCACTTAGGTCCTACGGGTGACCTCGATGGATTGCTGATGGGTGCTCTACCCACGCAGACGCAGTCTTCACTGCGTGCCGAGCTTTTCTTGCTCATCATGTTGGCGCGTGACTCCACGAAGGATGTTCGAAGTTCGAGTGTACTCGGCGGCGTCAGGTTCTCGACGGCCCTTGTCGGCCAAGCTGGGGTCTAGTACGTTGGATCTGCGGGTTGAGTTGCATCAGTTTATGCGTGAGCGTTGAGGTCCCCTTAACGTGAGAAGTGTGAAATCCAACCCCATCCGGGCCCACCGCCAAAATTTGTGTGTGTTACCCCATGTCGAGATGTGGTTTGAATAGTGCAGCTATTGTTGTTCGCAGACCCGGCCGTTGTTCGAGGCCAGCTTGCGATTAAGGATGCGCACAGGACCTTTGGGGCTGAATTGTTTGCCTTTGGCGTGTTTATGAGATTCCTGGCGGTTTAGAGGGAAGTTTCGTTGACGTGCGAGCGTGCGAGCTTGAGCGCGGGGAACGTGCCCCCCGCAGGACAAAGGGCCAGTTTACGAGCATGTCTGAGAGGTTAAGTAGACTCAGGGATACAGGGCATGACCCGCGCGTGTCAAAAGGCCTCGGAGCGTTGCAAGTACTGATGTCGGAGCTTCACCTTGCTTGGCAAGTTTTTATGATTTGGGGGTAGGCACTCGTGAGCCACGGTGTCACATTGAGCAGCGAATTCAGGCCTCTCCAGTTCATGAGCCAGTGCCGCCTGAAGAGCGGCTCGTTTCCGATGATTTTGGTCCGACGCGCTTCTGTGGCGGTGCGATGGACCATCCTCTGCCAGAGTCGTGTTGTAAGGCTCACAAGCTTGCTGTGCTGCGAGGCGTTCTGTTTTGCAAGAGGTGCGGGGTTTTGTTGCAGTCAACCCCCCTCGCGCGGTGAATAATAATAATAATAAAAAGAATACTACAACTAGTAATAATGATAATAATAATAATAATAAAAATAATAGCACTAATGATCAGAAGAAGCAAAAAGAAGCGCATGCCTCCTACCAGTGCTGCTGAGAAGGTGCTGTCGCGCCTCTCGAGGGGACTCCCCCCGATGTCGGGAATTGACTTTCCCGATCATTGATGTGTGTTGTGAGCGACCCCCCCCCCAGAGGAGGACGACGCTCTAGACACACTTACAATCAGAATCATTCCTCCTCGTCAGGAGGAGGTGGCATTGTATACAAAACGAGGCCCCAGGGGTATCGCGCGTACCACCTCTCCCGCGCGCGCTCCCTCGTGCATGCGGGGGCGCGGGGGAAGGGAGGGACGGAGGGAGGAAAGGCCACCCCCTCGCGGTAGTACCGCACGCGCGGGAGCGCGGAGGGAGGGAGGGAGGGAGGGGCGGAAGGAGGAGGGGGCCTTACAGCAAAAAAAATCTCAAGGATGTCGCCGGTTTCGAGATCGAGGCCCCGCCGCACCAGCAGGCCAGCCACGCCAAGCCGGGCTCGCGCTGGCCCGCTCGCCCCTTCTGCTGCTTCTTCGGCTGCGGCTGCAGCTGCTGCAGCCTCCTCCTCGTCCACCTCCTCGTCCACCTCATCCTCCTCTTCCTCCTCGTCCACCTCCTCCTTTTCCTCCTCCTCATCCTCCTTCTCTGTTCATCTCTCCCCTCTTCCTCTTTCCTTTCGTGCTGCCGTTTCATCCCTCCTGCATGGCTGGACCTAAACGGTGTTTGGGCGATTTCGCGGGCCGTTTTCGTTTCGACTTCGTTTTGCGATAGAGGTGGATTGAAAACAAAAAGAGGGAAAACGAAAACAGAAGGAAAACCAAAAACACCGTTTAGGTTCAGCCCTGCCCTCCTGCTCCCTTCTCTTTCCCCTGCATACTGCCGCTACTTCTCCCTACTCATGTCGCTCTTCTGCGTCCTCACCATCATCGTCATCGTCATGCTCCTCCTTACCTCCGCCGTGTGTCGTCATATTCCTTTTCCTCTTCCTCCTCCTCCTCCTCCTCCTCCTCCTCCTCCTGCTCCTCCTCCTCCTCCTCCCGCACGCGTTTTGTTGCTGCTTCTCTTCCTCCCGAAGGCGATGCAGGCGCAGCCAGCAGGCGGTGCGGGGCGTTCGGAGCTGCTGCTAGACGTGCCGTGCTACTGCTGCCGGATGGTATTGATGAGGCCCGGCTCTTCTTTAGGCAGGCCTCTTTTGTGACGCGTGCATTTCATCAGGGATTGCCAGCTCGCACTCCCACACTCTCATGTGCCGTTTAGTACCCATCGCTGGCTGAAAGTACGTTTTCTGTGAATTTCAATTTCTCATCTGCTCCATGCGCCTTCATATCTCTAGGCCTACTAGATTGGGTTCGAGTAGATGGGGTCGGAGAATCGCGCCGCATCGCCGATGCATCGGCGGTGCAGCTCGATGCGGGGCCCGATCTTTTCGATGCCTGCGTCGCCGATGCATCGCCGACGTCGCCGATGCATCATCGATGCATCGCCGATGCGGTGCAATCCTCCGACCCCATCGACTCGGACCCCATCTAGGAGGCCTCTAACCATCCAGTGATCAAATGGTTTTCCATTTTCCTTCCTGTTCAGGGGGCGGGCGGAAGCCCAAGCCATTTTTTGTTCAAAGCCTCTCTAATCATGTTTCTACCCACCTCATCCGAACGATGTGTGCTCCCTTGCGCCGCTTATTTTTTTTAACGGGGGGGGGCCGGGCGGGGGGGCGAAGCGGGGGGCGCGTCGGTGGGGGTGGGGGCTCTGCTGGGCGTTCAGCTGGCCAAGAAGCCGGACCCGATTCGGGTCCGCCCAGGGCTGCTTTCGGAGCGGGAGGACAAAGACACAGATGACAGGGTTGGGAGAAGGACAGGACCCGTAAAGGGTATGGTCAGCGTGCAGGTCGGCCCAGTCCCTCCAGGTGGTGACCGCGAGGCCCGAGTACTGGCCTGATTCATTGTGGCCCTGAGGCGCCAGTTCCACGTTTGGTTGGTCAGGTCAGTGTTCGGGCGGTTCCAGGGGCACTTAAGCGGGGCACTCGGAGCCCAGCGCTGACCTGGTTGTTTCTGTTTTCCCTCGACGAGGGGGAGGGACAGGAGGTCTAGTTGGCAGTTCCGTGATTTAGCTAGCTTCGGGCCGTATGTACCGCTTTCTCGCCGTATGAAGACGGCGCAGATGCAGGTCGGCCGCGATTGTAGGGCTCGACTCCAGACACGCAGGGTGAAGGAGGAGGTGGGCGCAGGAGGAGCAGTAGGAACTGTAGGAGGAGGAGGAGAGGCGGCTCGACTTCAGACGCACGCACGGCGCAGGAAGAGAGGGAACGGATGAGTAGGACGATGAGCAGGAGGAGGAGGAGGAGGAGGAGGAGGAGGAGGAGGAGGAGGAGGGAGGAGGAGGGAGGGAGAGTGGGAGCAGGGGGGAGGCTCTTGGCGAAAGTGTTCACGCGCGTTCTCGTGCGCACACAGGCATAGGCACACATGCACACGCAGCGTCTGGGTATATCACTCACTCTCGTCAGCCTCATCAGCCCCACAGTCGTGGTCATCAGCACCAACAGTCAAAAACCCTAATAAGGACGCGCGACTTTGCTCAGGGTACCCTTACGTCCTTGCTCTTCCTTGCTCTTGCGTCCTTGAGGTTTTCGTCGTCCGCCGCCCCACAAATCCCAACTTCGGCTTACAAGGGTCTTGCGTCCTTACCGCGCGTCCTTATTAGGGTGTTTGGCTGTATTTCGTGAGCGCCATCATCATCACCACTGCGATCATCATCACCTGTGTCAGCGCCGTCGTCGTGCCCATGCTTTTCTGCTACTTGCGCGGCTGTTGTTTCTGCGATTTGTCGCACGCACGTTGGACGGACGTGCGAGGCGCCTTGGGAAGATCAGAAGCAGCCTTCTTCTGCGGGACGGAAGTGGCATCAGTGTGATCGCGGTTGGCACGTGGGACCTCGCGCATGGTAGAAAACAGTTTCCAGAGGAGGCTAAATGAGAGGAGCAGATCGGTCGCACGAGAAAAACCAGACATGAATGACGGCACGCGCAGCATGCCAAAAATCATGGGGCGCCGACGCGCAGGCGGCACCCTTGCTGCATTGCATCTTGATGTGTGGAAGGCAGATCAGCTACTTCTCGTCGGACACACATGGCTGCCAACGTGCGCAGAGCTCGAATGATGCAGTTTTAAGATTTATTCGGCGCCGTGCGCAATACCACGAATCAGCGCAGGTCGGTGGCCGTTGGGAAATCACATGGTGATGCCCCCGAAAGCGTTGATGCTCGCATCGCCCCTCTCACAAAACTGACTTTTTGCACGAGTTTTGCTCCCGCCCTGCTGCACGACGAATCTTGGGCACGTGGACGAGAAATTGCACATTCCTGCTGCTTCTACACAAGCGACAGACAAGTGAGCTAGCGTGTGGGCCCAGTGGAGGGAGGCCAGCGGCATTCGATGCGGCTTACGAATTTCGTCGGCCAGGATCTTCTTCTGCGGGCTCAACTATTAGTGTAGCAGTCTCCCTGGAAGCCTCCCATTCTTGGTGAGGAAAGGGCATCCCATCGGTCGACCCAAGCATTCTTCGCAGTCTTCTTTGTGTGGCGGGGAGGGGGGGGGGGAGTTCGAAGCACATGTACAGGCAGTAACACGACGGCGTGGTGGAGAGCTTGCCGGCCGAGCCCGTTCGGCTACAGTTTCGGCTGGGGGTTCCTTTTGTTGCGCCTGTGGATATCATGGCACGGCCTCGGACCCAAGCGCTTTGCACTCGTCTGAACATCGCGTGTTGCAGATGGGCTTCTCGCGGGGGCGAATGCCAGCGCCTCCAAGCGGGGGCGAGTGCCAGCGCCTCCAAGGTTCTCCATCCAGCCACTTGTTCCTGCCAGGGTCCCCTCTTGGGTGCGGGGTCATGTTTAAAGGGGCCTCGGTCGGAATTCCACGTGGAAATGCGAATTGAACCATCTACGCCTGCGCAGCCCCTTCTGGGAAAGCCCCGTAGTCAATCTGGCTACACAGTTGAGGGTTGTGTTAGATTTGGTTTTCCGGTTCTCTCGCAGGAAAACCCGTGGCCGTCCTTGCAGGATGATCCAGTCGGCGAGACTCTGGCCTCGGTTGCCTTCCTTCCGCCAGCGGCCTCCGTGGCCCCCGATGTTTGAGCTGGTTCGCGAGGGGTCCCGAGAGGGTCCGCGGGCGGACCCTGGGCCCCGACCCGTATTGGGAGGTTCTTCTCTGAAGGGTGCTCAGCTGTCAGGAGCCGCGTTGCACGGGCAAGGCCTCGCAGCTACCAAAAGGCCTTTTTCTTTGAACGCGCTCGTTCCTGGAAATTGTTGATCGCTGCCAGCATGACGCATAACCTTGCGGACCAGGACCCGCTGGGGCCAGAAGGAGGATCGATTATGGCTCGTCTTGGGGAGTGGTTGCTCGGCCCCGGCACCGTGTTCGTCGCCAGTGCTGAGTGGAACTGCGCGCACGGGCAATTGGGCACCCCTCCAACTGGCCGGAGCGACTGGGCGGACTGGTCGTCGGGGCTCAGGGGCCCGCCCGATACTCCATTAGCACGAGTTGGAGGACCATCGATCATGTCGTTGTCAGCCGAGCTTTGCCGGGGCGTCGTTTCCAACTGCGTCGCCATGACGGCGCGGGGGCGCAATATCGTTGGCCCGTCGCCCACCTCCTGTTCGGCCAGCCTCCTCGTGGGAAAGTTTGGGCACTGGAAAGTTCGGACCCGCTGGAGGCCCCCGGGGATAACTGCGGGAGGCCGCCGGCCAAAGTCACGCGGCGCCTTGCTCGGCGGCGATCTGGGCCCCGAGGCTGGAAGCGGCAAAATGGCGTCGCGAGCATTGCCGCGTCATTTGGAGATCGAGCCTTGGGGCCGAATCTTGCCGCCCGCTGGAACGTTGGCCCGGGGCCGGGGCAGCTCTTGTGAACGCGCTCTTCGCGGCTGCCGCCGTGAGGGGCTGCGTTTTTTGGCCGTCGGGCGGCGGCGTGCCCTTCTTGTCGCAGCTTCCAAGCTTGCCGCCGAACGCGACTTGCCTTTCGGTCGGTGCAAGGCGCTCGATAATCAGCCCGGGCGGCCGGGGCCGTCGCCGAAGGAGCGGGGGGGGGGCTTGCGGATATGCTGCGCCGGCCCCCCCCCGCCAGCGCCCCCCAGGGGGGGCCGCCGGGCCCCCGGCTGCAAGATCGCGGACGTGGGCCTTCGCGGCTCCGCGCGGCGCCATGCCGCCCCCCTCCAGGAACTGGCGCGAGAAACGGGGTCAGCGCAGAGGGTCGTCGTAAATTTGTCCAGGAACCAGCGGAGATAATCCCTCCGCCACGATAGTAGCACCATCTTGCCCCTCTGTGAGAGAAGGGTTCTATTTTGCGAGACCCAGACCCCCTCTGTGAGAGAAGGGGTCGTTCTCTTGATCTCCATCCCTCAGCTTCCACCGCTTCCCCTCTCTTTGCGTCACAATCTCGATTTCCTTCCCGCTCCACCATCGTCTTCGCCGTCCTATTTCTCTCAATTTGCGTATTATCCTCCTCTTCCGTTCGTTTCCCTTTCGGCTTTTTGGCTTGATTTTCTGCTGTTCAATCATTCTCTCTATATTGCTGCCCCTTTGCTGTCATCGCCCGCCGCCGCCTTCTGCTCGAACCACCGCGCGCGCGGTATCTCTCGTTGTTTGTTGATTTTTCAGCAATGAGCGGAAACGGATGGGATGGCGCGAAAGGGTGGTGGAGCAATGGCTGGGGCGACCGCAGTCAGTGGGAAGGGTGGGACGTCTGGGGCGGCCGGCAAGATTGGTCGCAGAGTGGAGGGTGGCAAGATTGGTCGTGGCGGCCCGATGGCGGGGCCGCCGCAGCAGCGGCGGCCAGTGCCCACCCGTCTCCCTTCGACGCGCTAGGCGTCGTCAGCCCTCATGCCCCCGGCCTCGGGAGACTCATCCCGTAGGCAAACTGAGACTACCAAGACGCCCTGTTGGGATCCTCTTGGGCCATGGGGTCATTTCAGTTTCGCTTGGAGGTCATCGTCGGCGGCCTATGGCCCTAGCGATGCCTCTTTGGGGCTATGAGGTCACGCGGTAATTGCGTGCAGTTGGGCATATTGCCCGTGGGATGTTCCAAGGCAATTGTTGTTGGAACCAAATATCAGCACACCTTCTCCCGACGTGGCTCTGTCTGGATGTTATTCGTGTTGTTCAGGATGATCCTCTTTTTTTTTTCTCGTTCAGTTTCGTCATATCGTATT